ATGCCTCTGGCTCCTGGGGACGATCTGGTTCATCCCCACCTCTTCCAACACCCTCCGGCGCGCCGGCGTCACCTCCCCCTTCCCCGTAGCGCAGCCTTGGTTTCGCAGAGCCCGTAGGGACGCGCCGGCAGCGCCGCCGAGACACGCCAAAGCTCTTAATTTTGATCAAACAGCCGCGCCGGACCTCGCTCACCACCAATGCCACCCCACGCCGCGGCACGGCCACCACGCTGCGGCTCCCCTTCACCCAGGGGGATGCCCGGCTGGGTTTTTTTGGGTTGGTTTTTTTTCCCAAAAAATCCACTTTTTTCCCTTTTTTTTTTTTTTTTTTTTTTGATGAGCAACGTTATGAACCTCGCAGAGCCGAATGAGTTGCAGCGGTTTTCTTTTTATAGGACAAGAAGACAGAAGAGTTCTTCTCTGGGGTGGCTCCAGACTAGAGGAAGTCTCTAGTGAGTTTCCACTTCACGTAGTACCCAGATCCGCCGCCGCCGGCCCCTGCCCCGGCCCCGCTAAATCCCCTCTTCTCTTTTATGTCCCAGCAGGTACAACAGGTTCAGGTCTTTGCCGACGTACAGTGTACAGTGAATCTGGTAGGAGATCCCTACCTCAACCCGCCGGCTCCTTTGGGCACCCCGAAAAACGCCGCCGGGCCGCCGCCGCCGCCGGGCCAGCAGAAGAGCCTTCTTCAGCAGCTACTGACTGAATAATCGCTTTTCGAGGAATGTGAAATTTAAATAAGAAGACGTACAGAGATATATAAATATATATATTATATATTTTTCTGAGATTTTTGATATCTCAACCCGCAGCCATTCTTCAGCTCGTAGTGTTTGGAGCAAAAAGGGGGGGGGGGGGGTTTTTTTTGGGGGGGGGGGGGCCTTGAACTTCCCCACAGGCCAGGCTGCGGATTTTCCAGCCACAGAGGTCCTGCACGGCTTTGGGGTACATTTTTAATTACCCTTTTTTTTCCTCCTTTTTTCGGTTTTTTTTGTTGTTTTTTTGTTTTTTTTTTTTTAAAAAGCGTTGGATGTCGGCGAAGCGACGAGGCGGGACGGTCGGTTTCTCGAGCCAAAATTACAGATGATTCTTATTTTTGTAATCATTTCGCTGGCTTCTTAATCTGGAGGAAGGTTTCTCGGGGAGGCGGGGAGGGGGAGAAGGCAGCTGGAGGACTGCGGCGGCGGCAGGAGGAGGAGGAGGAGGAGGAAGAGCAAGCTCAGTTTCAGCTGGATCTGTCACTGATCACGTCTCGGCGCGGGGCACGGAAGGGGACTGGCGCTGGACTTCTGCGGGGAAAAGCCGGTTTTTTTATTCACGCTTCAACAAAACCCCTTCTCTCCCCTCCGCCCCAGCCCGCTTGTGCGTACAATCAGCTTTTTCTAGCAATCGTGAGTTTGTCGGTTTTAAAGGAAAAAAAGGAAAAAAAAAAAAAAAAAAAAAAAAAAAAAAAGACAAAAAAAAAGAACAGTTTGGGGAAAAAACTGCAATAATTTTTAGGGGGAAGGATGGGGGGAGGGGTCTGTCAATTATTGTAGATAAAATTTTCTGATTAAATATTAAATAAAATTAAGCAGTCGGTTCTTTCTGCTTTGATTGTGTTTAACAGCTGAGGTAGCTTAAACTATTTAAAATAATAATAATAAAATAATAATAATAATTGAATTCTCTGTTGGGAGATAGCTTATTTTTTTTTCCCCTCAAGCCTGTCACTGTAAATAGCTCTGAGCTCTGTATAAATTTGTTTTCTTCCCTTTTAGTTGGGGGTCGCTTTTAATATTCACTGCTGACTTTTACGGGGGGGAGGGCGGCTACAGGGGATTATTATTATTTTTTTTTTCCCTCTCTAAAAAATCGCGCTGGTGTGTGGAAAAAAAAAAAATGTGTAGCTTTGTTGATTGACATTTGCAAGAGTTAAAGATGACCAAAAAAAATCAAACAAAAAAAAAAAAAAAGAGAACCGGAGTTGCCAGCTAACGTTTCGTTGTTTCTGTGCCGACGGGGACGCCGGAGCGGTGCCGGGGCCGGAGGCGTGGGCAGCCGGGGGGCCACGCCACGCTCTGTCACCGCCGTTTGTCACGCTGGGGAGCTGGAAATTAGCCGGCGCACCGAGTTTGGTGGCAAAAACGGCCTCTTAAATCCCAAAACACCATAGCCTCGCTGCGGGCGAGTGCTGCCCAGCGCCGCGGCGGGGCGTTCGGCGGGGGTTTGCCGGCGTGCCGTAACGCCGAGGTGGGAAACGCCGCGTGGGTTGGCTCTGGCAAGAGCAGCGAGGGCTACGGTGCGCGGCTCCTGCCTCGAGCCCTGCGTTCGAGGGCGCAAGGAGCTGCTCCGTGCTCGCCTTCAGCGCTGGAAAAGGGGACGTCGGCGGGGCAGGGGGTGACGGTGGCATTAACGGCACGACCTGGACGGGCACACGCACTTCTAGCTGACAACACACGTTTGTTTTTTTTTAACTAAGTGGCTCATTTCAAACATTTTTACTGTAAACGAGGCCGAACGCAGCGGGAGGAGGTCTGCAGCGAGTCCCTTCTTGTCGGCCGATGCTGCCGTCTGCCGTTCACGCAGCTCCCGGCAGGGTTTCATCGAATAAATAACGCAAATAAAGTCATGCATAAACCGGCCTCGCTGGTGCGGGAGGAAAAAGCGCTCCGGCGTGGCTGCGGAGTGAGGGGCGGAGGTGGGAGAGGCGCCGGGAGCGCGGCCACGCCGGCAGCAGAACCAGTGCCAAATCCACAGGGAGGAGCGGAGCCGCCGGACGGCCGTGCCGGCAGCCAGGCCCCGCATGCAGAGCTCGGGCATGGGACAAACAGCCCTCGGGATGGACGGACAGACGGACGGGGAAGCTCAAAGGGCTGCCCAAGAGAAAAGTCACCCCTAAAAAGCAACAGAGATGTTTTTAAGCGTGGCAGAACCTAAAAGTTTGCCTGTGCTGGCAGCGGGATGACTTACAAACACACTGACCGCACGCAGACAGATTAATACAACACGTAGCCGCTTTCCGCACGGAATTAACATTTAATCCTCCCCACCAAAGAGCCCTTTCACGCTGCGTAACTGCTATCGCCACGCAAGGAGAAGGCTACCTGCTGCTGAGCCTTAGCACAGCGCTCCCGGGACACAGCGGCTTTCCTCCCGGCACTGTTCGGGGCCGAGCTCGGCTCTGGCCCAGGAGAGCCGCCCGTGCCCAGCTGCCGTCACTTCAACAATTTAAATTTCTTCAGATGCTGGTGCACTTGGTCCTTCGGGTAGGGCCTGAGCGCCAGGCAGGTGGCCACGTTCTCGGGCTGCTCGGTCCACACTTGGTGGTCGATGTTGTGCTGCTGCAGGGTCTCTGCCAGCGTCGTCAGGGCGGCTTCATCCGGAGCCTGGGGAGAGACAAAGTCCGCTGTGAGGGCTGGGGTACGAGGTGGTGCTGAGGAAAGGGAAGAGGCAAAGGAAGACGGCTCACGCCGAGGACAGCGGCCAGGACAGGCGTTAGGATGGGCAATCCCCACACTTTCCATCTTACCCAAAAGGCATTTTGTTCTTGCAGGCCCTGACCGCGCTGCCAGCCTCTGCAAGCACTGGGGGTAGGAGCTGGGGGTTGTGAGCCAACACAGGTTGTAAACCTTCAAAAATGAAGCTATTTTTTCCCTGGAAAGTTTGCCTGGCTTAGCGTGCTAAGGCAAAGAGCTCTGCCCGACCCTACATCACCACAGCGGTGCCCGATCACCGCCCTGAACCCCTTCATGCTGCGGGCCTGGGTGGTGACGGGGCCTCACTGGGAGTAACGGAGCCCCGAAGGCCTCGCAGCCCCGGGTGAGACGGGCGGGAGGGCAGGCCGGGCCCGGGGGAAGGCGAGTCACGGCCGATGCCTCCCCGCCAGGCCCGGCTGGGGCCGGGGAGGCCCCACAGCGCCGGCGGCCC